TGGTCACAATGGTAGTGGTGGGGTCACATAGGCAGTTGCCCTCAGTGACCACCAGAGGTTGCTGCAGCAATGAGAGGGGGGATACATGCCAGGCATTGCCACACCTGGCCACCAGGAGTCACTGCTCCAACAAGAAGGCACCTACAGGGCACTCCTGTGCCTGGCCAGCAGGGGTCACTATCACAGTGCTGGGGGGGAGATACACATAGGGCACTATCCCACCTGGCCAGCAGGGGTCAGTGCCCCAACAGGAGCGATATTCACCATGCAATGCCTCACCTGGGCACCAGGGGGCCCTGCACCCTGACCCACACATATCCCTGGTGAGCAGGCGTGTGCCTGTGTGTTACTCTGCACTTTAAGGAATGAGGCAAAGGCTAATTTTATTTAAATTTCTGATGAAGAAAGCTCTGAGTTACAACCCTCACCTTGCTGAGCACCTGCCCATAGCCAGAGCAGTGTCCCCGATGACAACAGAGACCCCAGAACACAGAGACCCAAAGGGGAAGCAGCTTTTAGGTGAAGCAGTGCAGAATCTGGGGAGGGGTTCTGGGGAAGCAGAAAAAGATCAACTAACTGCAGAGGGGAAAATCATAATCTATCAGGAAGAAAGAACTGACTCCGCGAGGACATCACACCAACTCCAGCCAGGCTGGGATACCAGCAATTCGGGGCTGGAGCAGCTCCAGCAAGAGGCTGGGCGGAGCAGGTAACCTCAGTCTCTCTGCCGAGCAGGCTGCTTTGGGTGCAAGGAGGGACAAGGAGCCCCTCCAGCCAGGGTCTTGCTGCACAAGAAGGGGGAGATCTGGGGCAGCCTTTGGAGGAGCTGGTTCAGCAGCCGTGAGCCCGCTGGCTTGTCCAGGCCTGAGCTTTCCAGCAGCACCCTGTGCACAGGTGTACGCACGGGATGGAGGCACCAGTGTAACGCTACAGGGCCTGACTCTGCTGAGTGCTGCCTGCAAGAGACGGGGCAGAGTCCAGGGCAGATGGGGGCCGCTGGCCCTGTCATCTCCTGCCATGAGCTGAACCCATCACACCTCTGGCCCATGACGTCACCACCCGTCCCTGCAGCTCTCCACCTGTCCCGCTGTCCATCCAACCCTAAAGCCCCCCATCCGCCCCCACTGTATGCAACATATAGACCTTCACCCATCTGCCTCACACACTCATCTATCTCCTCATGCATCCTACCGGCCCTCTGGGTGTCCGTGCAGTGCCCAGCACAAGGAGGTGTGGACAGGGCCCGATTAACCTTCTGTGAGCCTGGCACCAAACATATATGTGGGTCCCCATGGGGTAATGGGGTATGGCACAAGGGGGGGTTGATCACCAGAGCCAGGGGCCGGCAAGGGGTAAGGCACAGGGAGGTGCGGGGAGGGAGGCACAGCTCCGGTCTGCACAGTCCCACACAGGGGCTCTGTTTGCAAACCCACAGCCACCAGACACACACTGGCCCACCCAGCCCTGCGCTGCCAGCGTGCTCTGCCATACCACCCCCCTGCCCATTGCTCCCCACTCTATTATGCCCAGCAACTCCCATGCCCAGTGCCCCCTCACCCAGAGATCTGGCTCACAGATCCCTGTGCCCAACACTCCCCATTGCCCAGTGCCCCTCTCACAGCCCCCCACAACTGCCCAGCACCCCATATTCCTGAGGAAATTCAGCACCAAAAAATTAAAAATTCTGTGCACTATTTTAAAATTCTGCGAATGTTATTTGTCAATAAATGAATGTGGAAGCTCCGGCCTGGCAGTGGGGAGCAGAGGCCACTGGCTGCGTGGAGGTGGGAGATCACCCTGCAGCCTTCCCCTTCCCCTCCCGGGATAGGGACTCGGCCGTGAGGCTGCACCCGACCCTGACACAGTGTAAGGGATAAACCTGCCGCAGAAACACTCTTGGCCACTGTCCCTGCGCCAGGTGTGGTCAGACAGGCTCTGCCTGGCAGGATCCAAGTGTGGAGGGGCTCAGTGTGAGGGGATCCGGGTGGGGTAAGAGGGTTCTGTGTGGAGCAGTCAGGCTGAGGTGGCTCACTGCAGGATCTGGATGCACAGGGGCTTGTTGGGGGCCTCCAGGTGCAGGCGCAGTGGGACTCTGCAGAGGGCTCCAAGTGAAGGTGGTTGGGGCTCAGCAGGAGGTGTGTAGGTGTGGGGAGCTCAGCGCAGGACGGGTCCGGGTGCAGGGGAGGTAGGGCTCATTGGAGTGCAGGTCCAAGTGCAGCAGGCTGAGGCTCTGTGGGGTGTGTGTCCGGGGGGCTTATCGGGGTGGTCCAGGTGCAGGGGAGGTGGGGCTTGTCAGGGTGAGGGTTCGATGGGCCTGCTTAATGGGGAGCCTCAGCTGCTGCCACGGGGATGCTGCATGCCGGGCTCCCGCTTCCCCCTTCCTCCGCTTCCTCTATCCCCTTCTCTTCCCCATCGCCCCAGCCCTCCTCATCCCACCCCCTTCCTTCCCTACGGCTTATTTCCCCCCGCTCTCCCCACCCCGCCCTGCCCTGCCCCAGCACACGCACTCACTGCTGTACAGAGAACATGATGGCTCCTCCCAGCACGCAGACGGGGAGCCCGACAGGCACTAGGACCCAGAAGGCAGCGTCCACCTGCAAAGTCAGCAGAACTGAGAGCTGGGGGTGTGTCAAGGTTCCTCCCCCACTCTGAACTCTAGGGTACAGATGTGGGGACCTGCATGAAAACCTCCTAAGCTTACTTTCACCAGCTTAGGTTAAAATTTCCCCTAGGTACAAATTAATTTTATCCTTTGAGCCTGGATCTCCACTGCCACCACCAAACTCTAACTGGGTTTACTGGGAAATGTAGTTTGGACACGTCTTTCCCCCCAAAATCCTCCCAACCCTTGCACCCCACTTCCTGGGGAAGGTTTGGTAAAAATCCTCACCAATTTGCATACAGACCCTTGGATCTGAGAACAATGAAAAAGCATTCAGTTTTCTTACAAGAAGACTTTTAACAGAAGGAAAAAGAAAAGAATCACCTCTGTAATACCAGGATGGTGAATACCTTACAGGGTAATTAGATTCAAAACATAGAGAATCTCTCTAGGCAAAACCTTAAGTTACAAAAAAGAGACACAGTCAGGAATAGTCATTCTATTCAGCACAGTTCTTTTCTCAGCCATTTAAAGAAATCATAATCTAACACATACCTAGCTAGATTCCTTACTAAAAGTTCTAAGACTCCATTCCTGTTCTATCCCCAGCAAAAGCATCACACAGACAGACACAGACCCTTTGTTTCTCTCCCTCCTCCCAGCTTTTGAAAGTATCTTGTCTCCTCATTGGTCATTTTGGTCAGATGCCAGCAAGGTTACCTTTAGCTTCTTAACCCTTTACAGGTGAGAGGATTTTTCCTCTGGCCAGGAGGGATTTTAAAGGGGTTTATCCTTCCCTTTATTTTTATGACAGGGTGGCACTCTCTCCAGCAGAGCTCCTACAGCCAATCAATCAGCACTGAACAAATATCACAACACTAATACCTTCCAGGCCAGATTTTAGCAGAGAGCCTCTAAGCCTCACTGCAGGGAGCTTCCCCCCACCAGCCCTGAGCAGAATATCGCTGCCAGCCTCCAGCTCAGAGTTGAGCCTTCACTTCCTCCCATGCAGCTCTCAGAAAAAAAGCTCCTTCGGTTCCTCGAAGGGGAAAATCCACAAACAAACCTTCCCTTTGCTCTCACACCTCTAGGGGCCCAGGCCAGCCAAGTATCCATCCCAGCCCATGCAGGGGTAGGAGTTACTGTTTGTCAACAGGGAGCAGCACTGACCTTGCGCTGCACTGGGGGGGCTAGGGGAGCTGCCCCATTTTCCACACGTACGTCCTGTTTCTGGGAAGGAAGAACTACGGCCCTAGTGTTAACTCCCTGCTGCACCGTGCTCTGCACAACGCCAGAGCCTCACCGGGCCAGAGCCTCCTTTGTCAGCCACCTGCGAGAGGAGCAGGCTCGTTTCCACAAGACTTGGGGAGTTCGGAGAGACGGGGCAGAGGACGAAGTCTAGAGACACCAGTGGGAGCCCCATGCCCTGAGCTAAGAGAGCTAGTGCTCGATAAAAGAACCTTCTCCGTAGAGCTTCCACCACCCGCGGCAGAGAGAGCCAGCAGTGGTGGGGGGGTAGGGAGGTAGGGGGGAAGGGGGAGGAGAGGAGCCCCGGGCCTGGCCAGCTGAGAGGAGCGAGCAGTGGACAGGGGGAGGGGAGATGAGCCAGCGGGCAGGGGGACTTGAGGGCACATGGCAAGTGGAAGGGGCTGGGCCACGGCCCCTTTGAAGCATGGGCAGTGCCAGGTTAACTATACCACCAGTGGCTCCGTGGAGCCGGGGCCATGCTCAGAAGGGGCCCTGGCCTGCTCCACATGCACTGCACCCCGAGACCCCACTGGTCCCCACCCTCGCCCACCATTTACTCCTCTCAGCCTCCTCCGTGGCCGGCCAAGGGCTCCTCTCCACCCCATGGCCCCCCTGCCAGCTTCTTTCTGTCCCCTGGCAGGACCCCAGTGCACCTTCAGCTGCAGGCCTGTCGGGCCCCACCTGTCTCCCCGGAGCTGAGCTGCCTGGGACTGATGCAGAAGCCTGGCCAGTCTTGGCTGGTTGGGGGAGGGCAGTGCGGGGGGAGGGGCTTGGCTGGGCCCCTCCAGGCAAATGGGTCCTGATGGAACCCAGCGGGGCAGGCCCTGGACTGGCTGATTGCACCACTTCCGATGGGCCAGAGCGATTCCCCGCCCCAGGTCCAGCTCTGGCGGTTCAGCCCGGCTGACACAGTCACCTTCCAGCATTGCCAGTGATTGGTGCCAGGAGGCAGGGCTTGCGGGAGTGAGTCACTAGAGGGCCTGGAGCCGGGGGATGCTGGGTTGTGAGGGGGCAGGGAACATGTGTGTGTTGCGGCACTAGGGAGTGTTGGGGGTGTGTGTTGGGGGTGCTGGACAGTTGTGGTGTTGTGCTGGGCACTGTGCATATTTGGCAGGGTCTGGGGGGGGCACGCTGGGCATAGCGGGTCTGGGGGGGCTTTGGCCATAGGGAATTGGAGGGGGGATGTTTAAGTGTTGGGCAGGGGGGCTGTGTGGCACAGCATGGGCCCACCCCCGAGGGGAAGGGGCACGCTGGCAGCACAGGGCTGGGTGGGCCATTGTGCATCTGGCAACTGCTGGTTTGTAAATAGTGCCCTCGTTCTGGATGGAGCAGGGCTGACCCTGCCACGCCATATTGCCCCTGACTGACCCCTCGCTCTGAGGACTGACCCCCCCCCCGCGCCATGCTCCATTGCCCCCATGGGGCGCCCACAAATATGTTGGTACCGGGCCCACCAAAGGTTAATCAGAAACCCAGTACTGGGCGTGGACCCTGAACAAGGCTTTTGGGTGATGTAGTAATGGAACTAGAGAGTGATTAGGGGGGTTCTTGGCATCTCTAATCCCAGCCCCACTTCTCCTGTGCCCAAACTCGCCCAAAGAGAGCGAGCCACCCCTCTCCGTCTCAGACTCCAGAGCCCAAAAGGCATGACTGGCCACTCACGCTGTGACCCAGTTACACCAATGAAGTCTCCCCAAACTCTCTAAGAAAATAGGGAGTGGGAGGAGCAACCCCCGTAGCCTGGCAGGCAGTACGCATCCTTCCCAGTAGGGCAGAGACCATGCCCATAGGCAGATAGACCCAGCCTAGCCCAGAGGAGACTGGGAGAGGGAGAGAAGAGGAAGAGGATGCAAGCAACTGAACATGATAGGTGTCCATGAAAGGAGAGAGAGAGTTTGAGTGTGAATTGGCCAACACAGTGGAGAAGACAGAGAGAGAGAGAGAAACCTAGGAGGAAGGAAAGAAACTCAGAACAGGAAGTCACCCTCAGGGATCCAACCTTCTCCTGGGGAGCACACCCTACTCCTGGCCAGAGAGATGATCAGCCCCCGCAAATGGCAACATCATCTCCCTTGAAGACACAGCTAGTCAGGAAACCCACACCCAGCTAACGGGAAGTCCCTGCTTGGAGCCAGGGGGGCTGTGACCAGAGCCCTCCCCAAACCAGACACTTACCTCACTGACAGCGACAGCTGCTTCGCTCCCAGCTGGACAGGTCTTGCCTGGCATCAACAGGATTCACGCTGTCACTGCTCTCGCTCACCTTCCTTCTCACCTCGGGGCTGGACTCCGTCCTCATGACTTCTTTCCCCTTGGTATTAAACACAACACAAGAGGGAAAGAAAAAGCAATGGTGGCGAGGCTCCACTTCTCGCTCCTCCCGCACCCCAGGGCTCTGGCTTCAACCCTCCTCCCATTATGCCATCACAGATACAATTAGAAATCCCCCCTCTGCACCTGCACCCAAAGGAGTCACTCTGAACAGGAGACAATTGTCTCTTCCCCTGCCCTTAATACCACGCACAGCTCACGGCCCTGGAAGAAAACTAACCTGGGAAGAGCTGAGGAAGAGAGTGCCGTCACCGCTGACTCACACCCAGTGCTGGGAAAGGCAGAAAGCTCAGGACTGTTCATCTCTGCTTACCGGGATGTCCAGCCTGCTCAGCTCCACTTCTTCCAGCTTCTCCTCTGCCTGGGGCTCCTGGGCGACTCATCTGCAAGCGCAGGAAATAACCAATGAGCGAGGCAGCCCTGCCCACAGCTCTACTGGTGCGCGAGAGGTCGGCCTCCCTCCGTCTCCCACATGCTCTAGAGCAGCCCCACGTGAAGGAAAGAGACAGAGCCAACGGGCTGCGTGGCCAGTCACCCCACCTCCCCCACTGTCACCTCCAGGACCTGGTATGATTCTTTTCCCTCCCGCCAGATGGTGCAGGCCTCGAGACCAAGCCTGTGGGGATCAATGTGCACTTCTCCTGCCCATGGCCTGCAGTAGGAGGCACGACAAAGACAGAGAGAAGGTGCGTTGTCCAACACAGAAGACAAGACAGAGAGAGAGGGGGAATAGGAGAAATTAAAGTAACTCAGCACCTGGAGTCACCCTCCTGGATCCAACCTCCTGCTGGGCTTGGACACACCACTCCCACCAAGGGAGATGAGCAGTTCCCAAACCAAGCACTCCTCTCACAGACAGAGACAGCTGCTCCACTCCCAGCTGAACAGGTCTTGCCTGGCATTAACAGTGCTTGCGCTCTCACTCGCTTTCCATCTCTCCACCAGGACGGACTCTGTCCCCGCCCCCCTCACCCTCCAACATACACACACACACACTTACACACTTCTTTTCCCTTGGTGCCAAACACAACGCAAGAAGGAAAAACAAAAGTTATCGTCACACTCTGCCATGATGGTGAGGCTCTGCTTCTTGCATCTGCCACACCCCAGGGCTCTACCCTGAACCCCCTTCCCATGATGTTCTCGGAGCTACAATTAGAATCACCCCAGTGCACCTGCACTCAAAATCGTCACTCTGCACAGGAGACTCTTGTCCCTTCCACTGGTCTTAACCCCGCAGAGCCCTGGGCCCAGCTAGGATGCACCTCATTATTCTTGAGTACTGGGGCGCTCATCCTCTCCTTCCTATCCCTCTTGGACTCCATCTGTGAGAGAGGACAGGGTAGTGTTACAGACACAGACACCCTCCCCCAGCTCTCTTTGCGCCCTGGGCTCACACCTGGTTGTTTCCCCAATCCTTTAACAAGAACGTCTGAGGAATGGGGGGGAGGAAAAAACAAGGGGAAATAGGTTACCTTGCATAATGGGAGTGGCTAAGTCATTATGCAAGGTAACCTTTTTCCCCTTGTTACCCTCCCCCCCCCCCCCCGTTCCTCAGACATTCTTGTTAAACCCTGGATTTGTGCTGGAAATGGCCCACCTTGATTATCATACACATTGTAAGGAGAGTGATCACTTTAGATAAGCTATTACCAGCAGGAGAGTGGGGTGGGGGGGAGAGAAAACCTTTTGAAGTGATAAACACCCATTTTTTTATGGTCTGTGTGTATAAAAACATCCTCTCTGCATTTTCCACTTTTATGCATCCGATGAAGTGAGCTGTAGCTCACGAAAGCTTATGCTCAAATAAATTGGTTAGTCTCTAAGGTGGCACAAGTACTCCTTTTCCTTTTGTGAATACAGACTAAGCCCTGGTCTACACTAGGACTTTAGGTCGAATTTAGCAGCGTTAAATCGATGTAAACCTGCACCCATCCACACAATGAAGCCCTTTATTTCGACTTAAAGGGCTCTTAAAATCGATTTCCTTACTCCACCCCTGACAAGTGGATTAGCGCTTAAATCGACCTTGCCGGCTCGAATTTGGGGTACTGTGGACACAATTCGATGGTATTGGCCTCCGGGAGCTATCCCAGAGTGCTCCATTATGACCGCTCTGGACGGCACTCTCAACTCAGATGCACTGGCCAGGTAGACAGGAAAAGAACCAGGAACTTTTGAATCTCATTTCCTGTTTGGCCAGCGTGGCAAGCTGCAGGTGACCATGCAGAGCTCATCAGCACAGGTGACCATGATGGAGTCCCAGAATCGCAAAAGAGCTCCAGCATGGACCGAACGGGAGGTACGGGATCTGATCGCTGTTTGGGGAGAGGAATCCATGCTATCAGAACTCCGTTCCAGTTTTTGAAATGCCAAAACCTTTGTCAAAATCTCCCAGGGCATGAAGGACAGAGGCCATAACAGGGACCCGAAGCAGTGCCACGTGAAACTGAAGGAGCTGAGGCAAGCCTACCAGAAAACCAGAGAGGCGAACAGCCGCTCCAGGTCAGAGCCCCAAACATGCTGCTTCTATGATGAGCTGCATGCCATTTTAGGGGGTTCAGCCACCACTACCCCAGTCGTGTTGTTTGACTCCTTCAAGGGAGATGGAGGCAATACGGAAGCAGGTTTTGGGGACGAAGAAGATGATGATGAGGAGGAGGTTGTAGATAGCTCACAGCAAGCAAGCGGAGAAACCGGTTTTCCCGACAGCCAGGAACTGTTTCTCACCCTAGACCTGGAGCCAGTACCCCCCGAACCCACCCAAGGCTGCCTCCTGGACCCAGCAGGCGGAGAAGGGACCTCTGGTGAGTGTACCTTATAAAATACTATACATGGTTTAAAAGCAAGCATGTGAAAGGATTACTTTGCCCTGGCATTTGCGGTTCTCCTAGATGTAGTCCTAAAGCCTTCGCAAAAGGTTTCTGGGGAGGGCAGCCTTATTGCGTCCTTCATGGTAGGACACTTTACCACTCCAGGCCAGTAACACGTACTCGGGAATCATTGTAGAACAAAGCATTGCAGTGTATGTTTGCTGGCATTCAAACAACATCCGTTCTTTATCTCTCTGTGTTATCCTCAGGAGAGTGAGATATAATTCATGGTCACCTGGTTGAAATAGAGTGCTTTTCTTCAGGGGACACTCAGAGGAGCCCATTCCTGCTGGGCTGTTTGCCTGTGGCTAAACAGAAATGTTCCCCGCTGTTAGCCACAGGGAGGGGGGAAGGTTGAGGGGGTAGTCACGCGGTGGGAGGAGGCAAAATGCGACCTTGTAACGAAAGCACATGTGCTATGTATGTAATGTTAACAGCAAGGTTTACCCTGAAAGAGTGTAGCCACTGTTTTATAAAATGTGTCTTTTTAAATACCGCTGTCCCTTTTTTTTTCTCCACCAGCTGCATGTGTTTCAATGATCACAGGATCTTCTCCTTCCCAGAGGCTAGTGAAGCTTAGAAAGAAAAAAAAAAACGCACTCGCGATGAAATGTTCTCCGAGCTCATGCTGTCCTCCCACACTGACAGAGCGCAGACGAATGCGTGGAGGCAAATAATGTCAGAGTGCAGGAAAGCACAAAATGACCGGGAGGAGAGGTGGCGGGCTGAAGAGAGTAAGTGGCGGGCTGAAGACAGGGCTGAAGCTCAAATGTGGCGGCAGCATGATGAGAGGAGGCAGGATTCAATGCTGAGGCTGCTGCAGGACCAAACCAGTATGCTCCAGTGTATGGTTGAGCTGCAGCAAAGGCAGCTGGAGCACAGACTGCCACTGCAGCCCCTCTGTGACCAACCGCCCTCCTCCCCAAGTTCCATAGCCTCCACACCCAGACGCCCAAGAACGCGGTGGGGGGGCCTCCGGCCAACCAGCCACTCCACCACAGAGGATTGCCCAAAAAAAAAGAAGGCTGTCATTCAATAAATTTTAAAGTTGTAAACTTTTAAAGTGCTGTGCTTAAAGTGCTGTGTGGCATTTTCCTTCCCTCCTCCACCACCCCTCCTGGGCTACCTTGGTAGTCATCCCCCTATTTGTGTGATGAATGAATAAAGAATGCATGAATGTGAAGCAACAATGACTTTATTGCCTCTGCAAGCGGTGATTGAAGGGAGGAGGGGCGGGTGGTTAGCTTACAGAGAAGTAGAGTGAACCAAGGGGCGGGGGGTTTCATCAAGGAGAAACAAACAGAACTTTCACACCGTAGCCTGGCCAGTCATGAAACTGGTTTTCAAAGCTTCTCTGATGCGTACCGCGCCCTCCTGTGCTCTTCTAACCGCCCTGGTGTCTGGCTGCGCGTAACCAGCAGCCAGGCGATTTGCCTCAACCTCCCACCCCGCCATAAACGTCTCCCCCTTACTCTCACAGATATTGTGCAGCACACAGCAAGCAGTAATAACAGTGGGAATATTGGTTTCGCTGAGGTCTAAGCGAGTCAGTAAACTGTGCCAGCACGCCTTTAAACGTCCAAATGCACATTCTACCACCATTCTGCACTTGCTCAGCCTGTAGTTGAACAGCTCCTGACTACTGTCCAGGCTGCCTGTGTACGGCTTCATGAGCCATGGCATTAAGGGGTAGGCTGGGTCCCCAAGGATACATATAGGCATTTCAACATCCCCAACAGTTATTTTCTGGTCTGGGAATAAAGTCCCTTCCTGCAGCTTTTGAAACAGACCAGAGTTCCTGAAGATGCGAGCATCATGCACCTTTCCCGGCCATCCCACGTTGATGTTGGTGAAACGTCCCTTGTGATCCACCAGAGCTTGCAGCACTATCGAAAAGTACCCCTTGCGGTTTATGTACTCGGCGGCTTGGTGCTCCGGTGCCAAGATAGGGATATGGGTTCCGTCTATAGCCCCACCACAGTTAGGGAATCCCATTGCAGCAAAGCCATCCACTATGACCTGCACATTTCCCAGGGTCACTACCCTTGATATCAGCAGATCTTTGATTGCGTGGGCTACTTGCATCACAGCAGCCCCCACAGTAGATTTGCCCACTCCAAATTGATTCCCAACTGACCGGTAGCTGTCTGACGTTGCAAGCTTCCACAGGGCTATCGCCACTCGCTTCTCAACTGTGAGGGCTGCTCTCATCTTGGTATTCATGCACCTCAGGGCAGGGGAAAGCAAGTCACAAAGTTCCATGAAAGTGCCCTTACGCATGCGAAAGTTTCGCAGCCACTGGGAATCGTCCCAGACCTGCAACACTATGCGGTCCCACCAGTCTGTGCTTGTTTCCCGAGCCCAGAATCTGCGTTCCACAGCATGAACCTGCCCCATTAGCACCATGATGCATGCATTGGCAGGGCCCATGCTTTCAGAGAAATCTGTGTCCATGTCCTGATCACTCACGTGACCGCGCTGACGTCGCCTCCTCGCCCGGTATCGCTTTGCCAGGTTCTGGTGCTGCATATACTG